ATCCAAGATGACACAGATAGGAAACCAATTTGAAAAGCATAAATTATTATATAATGTAATTATCACACATTTGCCTTAAAGATGAAATACTGAAGTGTTGGCTTCAAGATTTTAGTTCTCTTTTCGCAATATAAAGAACCATGAAAAATAATATAGATGGAACGATTTCAAAATGAAGTCAGAACCACCATCCCTGAGGAATTGCCTTGAACGCTTACTCCTGAAATCTTTGGAATGTGTGAATGGGGTAAAATAACCTTTTAATTGTGGCAAAGCAATACTGTATAACAAATAACGGTTTTCAGAGCTAACGGGAAAGTAGACATCTGACTCAGGACTGAAAATTAAACATTCCTTAGAATGAGCACCACCACGCGTGGCTAAAGAATAATTTAGGTTATTTGCACCCATAGAAATTCCTTTCATCTGTTCATATAATTATTTCCATTCACTTTCCCATGGATACCTATGCCTTTACCTTATAACCAGGATACTATTTAGGTTTCTACCTGAATCAGTGTTTCCCAAACAGCTATTCTTTGATGTCAAATAAATGCTATTGTGTCTCACTTTGGCTTTTTATTTTTATGGTTAACAGAGCCATCCTAAGAGGGAAAAATTAAAAATTAAAAATAGCCAAGGAATGAGAAGTCCCACATTTGCATCTTACTACTCTTAATGAGAAAATTGCTTCTAGAAAATAATACATTTTAGAAAAAAATCATAAATTTATTCTTCCTTGACATTGCATCCATCTGTTTTCTGCAGTGAGTCAATGAAACATATATAAAGATAAACCACCATTTTGCTTATTCAAGAGTATTTGGTCAAATAAGTTTTAGGTATATCCTTGATGGATTATTAACACAAATATATTGAACTTTATGTAGGGTTCTATGATCTTCAAAGTGTTTTAGTATCTGTTTTGTTTTCAGTTTCCTGTGTGACAACCAAAGAAATCCAAAATTTCAGCTTTGAGTGAAAATTTTGAGCTTAAAACCTTTTTTCTTTACTTTTAGAATATTTGCTGGATCTCGATCCTTAGAGTTTTATGGTGTTCTAAAATGAATACAAATGTCAATACAAAATCATATTGACACAAAATAATTTGTACTTTCTTTTCCAGATTTAGTTATTGCTGCTCTTTTTTCCTGGTCGGTAAACAGTTTAAGTACATGTGTTTTTCCATTTATGTGTAAAAAAAACATCTGTTTTTTGAGAAATCGACATATTTTTCTCATAATTTCTCATAATTGCCTAAAATAAGACCAGTGGGCATTACGACAGGCTCTGTAAGGTCGAACACTTCTATGGAGATCCCAGTCAGTTTCTTTACTGATGGTCTGCAACTGTCCTAACGAGTTTGACAATCCTGGCTTGATTAGATGACCAAGAGGAATGACAATCCCACCCCAACTCTCCTGGCTCTCTCAACTCTCCAGAAGCCTAGATCCTTTACATAGTTCTGACTTCAGGAAAGCCTGCAGTCTTGCATGGAGGAAAATAATGGTGCTGGGAAGTTCCTGCTACTGAGTGTGTCTCAGGCCTCCAATGCTGCCTGTGATAGAGATAAGGGCATGTGCAGAGAGACTCAGTGGCTTCATGTGATTCCTGAAGCTCCCTCTTCTTGTGTGCTTGAAAGTGCAGATCTGATAATAGCATTTTATGGACAGGAAAAATTTGTTTAGTGAGTTGGCATATTCAGTGATGATATTTTTGTAATTGGTTTGACATGGTGAGATCTCAGAAAAATTTAACATGTCTATTTTATTGTTATTATGTTTGACTAGATTGAAATGATCTTAATTTATTTCATATAAGCTTTATTTAGTAAGTAATTTTCAACATTTTTAGTGTTTTAAGTATTTAAAATTTTCCTTTTTTACATTTTTTTAATTTGTTGAAATTATTTTTGTCAGCAAGTACATGAAAACATCTTTTATACATTTTTTTGGTACTGAAAAAAGGCATATTCCCAACCTATAAATTTACCATGAATGTCAGCTCTGATAATCACATACGTTCAATTTTTTTCTTAGCACAAACAAGCAAAGAAATATTTTCTTTCTGGGTTAAAATACCAATGAGCATTCTTGGGATAGAGGCCGTTACATAACAGATTTCTAAAAAGGAAAACTGTTAAGTAAAAATTACATGGGGTCTGGAGAACAGGGTCAATTCTTGTTATCAGTATTATGATGCTATTGAACATCAGGATAGTCAGAGAGATGACTAGAAATATCCCCCCAAATCTATTTGATGCTGTGAATATCAGAAAACCTTTAATGAACAAATTTCATCATTGTATGATAGTTGATTTCTCTAATTTAATTTGTTCTCCATCGGCAAATATGGCAAATTCAAGATGGTTAATTAATTAATGTTCTTTAACCACATTTTCCTCCTCTGTTAACTGAGATATATGCACAAATATATTTCTATAATCTCTAAAACTATGTCCACAACACCTTGTTCTATTTCTATTAAATGAGATTTAAAACCTCAGAAAGGAACTGATGTGTACGTGACATCAGTCCAAGAAATAAAACCTTATATACATTTTTTTATACTTGGAGATAATGGTACCAGAGAAAATGAGAGGGTGCATTGTTATTAGAGCTTATTGTGCTGAAATAATATCTAATAATTTCACCCTTATAAAAAGAGAAATTCTGATACAGGCTTTATGATATAAGCTTTTGTTATTTCATTTGACTGGGTTCATCAATTTTTTTTCTGAATCAATGGCTTAATTTCATTTTCTTTTAAATTTAAGATTTTCCCTCCTGGCTTTTGTTTAATTTTCATTCTAAATGATTTTTAAGTCCTTCTTTATATTCTGATGAGAATCAATTTTCTTAAACCAATTCTTTATTACTAGGGTATGAATATGTTCAATATTATCACTCTACTTTATATACCTTTTCCCTCATTGATGCTAAATATGGAAAGCTTTAATCTCATCATACTGTAAAAATTTGTAAAAATACAGAAAGTCATAATCTTAACGCTTATTAGTTGGAATGGATTTCATGTTGATATAAATGTAATTAATATTATTTTAATATTAACAAAGATTTTCTCTGTTCCACAGTTCATGTTTAGTTGAGCAGAGATGTAAGTAGCACATTTTTAAAAACCAAACAATATTATAGTGAAAGGAAAGTTATTCTACTGCAGGTTATTTCCCTTAGGTAATTGATATTGTAAAATGTCAAAAATTCAGATATAAGACTATAATGATTATCTCTATGAATTTGAATATAAAATACAGCAGAACCAGTGATTTCCCCAAGAGTTATACTGAAAGAGAGGCAACACTTCAATTTTGAGTGCTTTAAACTTTTCAAAATACTTCTCCGTACTAGGTGGATATTGAATGCTGAAATAATCCCAGATTTCATAGGATAAGTGTGTTTTAACCATTTTATTAATTATGAATTATTAAAGACAATGGGATCCAAATGGAGTTGCTTATGCTAATACCCAGGGAATCAAACTGAC